AATAATTCACTTTGCCATATTTTATTTTAATAATTTAAATTTCTTCTTAAGTTTTTTAATAATGCGCATACTTTAAAAACTATTGTTATACTTTTGGTACATATAACCTAAATTATAAAATATTATCTTTCAACCTACATTACCTATCGCCTATAGTATATGCATTTTTTTTAAATAACACCACATGGTGGAAAAATAAATGAATGAATAAATATTAAATAAAATTTAAGATACTGAAACAGACCAGAGACTGAGACTGAGACTGATCAGCATATTATAAGGAAAAAGCATATAATTTATTAAGGATATAATATACAATTATGAAGGTAACATAGTATTCTGATTTTATAATCACTATATTTATGTACTCATTAGTACAAAGATTATTTGAATCTCAAACATATAATATGGTTTTGAAAACAATTTACAAGTATAAGTTTTAATCTGGAATACCAACAGTATAAGTAGGACAACCAAATTATTGAGACACATGAAATTATTTATTTATTAAAATCAATAAATTAATTTGTTGTACAACCAAAAGGCCAAAATACTATACAACGATAACATAAAAATTAATTTTTAAATCAGAGGGAGTTGTGTCACATAGTTTAATTGACATTTTAATTAAATTTTTAACTACAACATATGCATTCATATAATATATGTATAAATAAAAATTAATACCAACACTTGTAAGTACGTCTTATTTAAAAAAAAAACTATTAATATAAGTAAGTACCCAAGTAGCAAGTATTACAGTATTACATCATTTTTTAAATATTTAAGTTAACTACCAAGGGCAAATCATAAATTTATAACTCGTTTTACTTTTGTCTTTGAAATCGGTTTATTCCGTCTCTTCCTGTTATAGTCAAAAATTCAAAATAATATGAAACAATTAATCGTGTCGAACAAGCAAGTTTCATTTTTATTTTTTATTTTTTTGCTGATTATGCGTACATTTTGTATTGAATTTAAATAATGTAAAATCAAAATGATTTCGTTGACAATATTCAAGTAACARGGGAAAAWAATCTRAAAACGTTAAGTAATGTCAACAGCTGATATCATTATTATATATAATACAGCCATTGTYGAAACTTATAACTTTTAAATAATATTAAAAACGTTTTTGTGGAAACATTAATTTCAAACTTCATAATAAGACACAATATATTGTTTTAAAAATGTCTAGTTCGTAATGGTAAAAAATAAATGAAAACGAAACTGATACATGTCGCGTGATCGGTTCTTCTCGTTACGAACCTAACCACAAGTGCCGTYGAGTTCAAGCCATTTGGAGAACATTCGGCCGAGTCCGTTAATATTATAACAAGATGTGCATAAAATTCGTGAAACGTTAAACTGCTTTAGGTCTCTGAAATGTCAATTGAATCCCTCGGGGTATAAGCTACGTAACACGGTACGACAACGACGTGTCACGTAGTAATAATAATAATAATAATGACGACACGAGAATATAGTATTACAAACAATAATATTTAAATGTTGTATATATACCTATACAGAGCCAACATTCGTTTTTTGAAAGTAACGACGACCGTTTAAATTTTAGAGGGCATGGGGTCCTGAATTATTTTATAGTTACCAAGTACAGCAGGTACATTAGTCGGATACCTGATTTTATTATGCTTATATTTTTATACATGTAATATTATGAAGATTGTGATAAACCATTGATGGTACAAACAGATAACAGCAATGCCGATGTAGGTAGGTTAGGAAACTTCGTTGAATTTTCTAATTCGTCAAACTAGCCGTGTCTATTTGACGCGACATCGTATAATATAATTTACTAATATTATTCAAAAACATTCCCTGCAACTACATACTGATATATAGGTAATCATCAGTGGGACCCAACTATTTAATACAATATACTTTAAGTCCCCATATATAGTATCAGGGACCCAACTCGTATGCTTCGTGCCCCTGCAGTACCGTATACACACGAGGGAGAGGTTAAAGCCCTACATCCTTCGCTTTTTTTTGTAAAAGCGTGAAGATGATTTTAATAAAACGTAGACATTAGTTACACATATATTGTATAAACTTTTGTTAATATACTCCCCCCCCCACCCCCATTGAACATAATTTTTTACACCACTGCATTGAAGTATCATAATATATTATTATTATTATTTAGATTATATTAGATGGTATAACTCTAATAAGGAATGCGAAATATCACGAGAGACCGCAGTGATTCTATTAAACATAATATTATATTATATTGACTTGACGCGCGATCAGAGGACAACTAAACACACACACACACATATATTTCGACCAAAAACGAGTCGGCACGTTTTAAAGGAGATATAATCATATCAAAGATTCGATATTTTTATAAAATATGCGTATAATAGGAAGGAATTTTATCTGCGATGCAGTGATTTTTTTATTRCTTTTATAGTAAAAGTTCTTAAAAATCTTGAGCTTCCATTACGGCGTTTTACACTTTTATGTTTTAACTTTAAATATAAGCGGCTAGACAACGTAAACGCGGTATAATACTTATTTCGAAAGACAACGCGCAGACACGTACACGCATAATACATTAATACGTATCWAATGTGTGCAGTTTGGGTCTAGGTCACACATATTATTGTTGTAATATGCTCGCGGATAACATTGTAGATCTGCAGTGTCTCTGGATTATCATTCGCCGACGAGTATATTTTTAAAAACACCTAATTTAATTTTTGTTTTCGTGCAAATGTCTGTGCGGCACAGTGTTTTATGTATGGTATGAAACTATAGCGCTGTAAACAGCAACAACTTGTGTGTAAAAAAAAAATATGTAAACAGAACTCCGAATGCATCAATATACGATCATATATTTGTATATAATAATATATTTATGTATAATGCCTTTCCCTCTATATGTCATTCGCGTATGCACAAACACACACACACACACACAATATTAATACATATTGCACACATATATATACATACATCCATACACGTTATATTATATTATATGATGTGTACATATAATATATATATATATATATATTATATTTACAACACGTTCGGCGTTAGTTTGCGGCTAAATTTTTTGACCTATTTCGATTTATTTAACAAATAGTTTTCGCGTGTTTTGCACAATTCGAACGGAAATTAGACAATAGCGATTTGACCGTACGATGTGTATATAATTTCTATATTACATACAAAATATGTATACATGTTTATTTTTTCATTCACCGCCGACCTTAATATATAGATCCGATATATAGAGTTACACGCATAGTCATTATAATATTGTATTGCGGGTCTCAGYATATTATGCGATATTATACATGATATAGGTATATTAGGTATATAATAATGTCTTGATCGAAAAAAACCGCTGAAGAATACGATTTCGTAAGGTGGATATTATAACRAGTCCTGAAAACGCGATGGCGAGAATAAAAATATTTCATGCTTATTCGTGCGATGACGACAATAATATTGTTGCATTGAGCCTACAAAGCTAATTGTATTACGATAACGTACCTATAATATCGTATAATACGTAAGGTACACACATGCACTTTCCGTCGCACGAATAATAATATGACGTTTAGGTATACCTACACAGATCGCACGAGGCTATACTACAAGAGAGCTGCAGCGGCCGTCTCACCGAGTGCTGGAAAGGAGGGGACGTGAAAATTTAAAAAAAAATAAAAAAATGAGAGGACCGTTTATTATTTCGCGGCCAGTAGAAAAATTGCGACCCGCGGCGTCTCCGTCACACGGTCAACCATCAAAGTGCGTGGAAACGGAACTCGTTTTCATAACTGGTATACATATTATACCACAGAAATATAAAATAATAACACGGCGGCCGTGCCCGGGTACGCGTAATGATATACCGGGATGAAAAAAAAAATTGTAGGTAGATACAAACACACGCGCACACACACACACATCGTATACGAGTTTCAAATTGGAACGCCGTGAAGGATTTCCAGACATGTTTCGTCATTGCGCGCGCACGAGAGTCGTGTTTGTGTGCGTGTACTGTAGTTGTATATATATRAACATATATATAAGCGAATTTTAGCCAAATATATTTCGCTCGAGCGCGAGTTGTTACACGCCGCAGCGCAGTATTGCATATTATTATAATACTGTAATAACGTTTAATTTGTACATTTTTATTATATGCACCGCGCCATCGATTCGTACCCAAAGCCCGAAAAAAATATTAATTTTCCTAAAGATTAATCTGTTAACGTCTGTGCGCASCACGCACGCGATCCAGTGTCGGGAAGGATCGCGCATCGTCGAGTGTGCTGATAACAATATCACACGTTATTAATCAGCTACGTAACAATAATATACCATCATAAACCTACGCCTATGAAATATGTACCACGTGGTGCTAAATCGATCTGTCGTCGCGCTGGCCCCGCACCGGTGTCGTGCACGGCACACACCGTACCTRCATTAGACGGARRTAAAACGGACGATCCGGGCGAGGACGCGACAAACGACATACTCCGAGTTCGGTTTTCGTGGTGTGTCGCGTTTGATTGACGTCGCAAATTCAAGCCCGGCTCGTCGCAGAAAATTGATCGTTCGGTACCTACATAACAATATGGTTATACAGTGCACAATAATGAAATACTAACAATGATAATWTAAACGATATAAAATAATAGCATGCAGTACAACATTCRAGTGCGGCCGCACCGCGGTTATAGTTGAACTGTTGTCCGCGAGAGGACGTTTGCAGCAGCAGTGGCAACTACGGTCGGACGGGACGACACGGAGGCGCGGCGCCAGAGCGATGTATGAGAGATAATATGCGGCTGATTTGAAAATCGTTAACTCCGCGGCGCGCGACATAACGCCAATCGTGACGTACGGAGGAGAAGGAATCGGACGTTTCGATCGCGATGGACCGTTCAATAATAATATTCATGTAATATCATACAATAAGCTCGGTGTAATGATGAAGACGGTGAATTGCATACCTTTGCGGAGCGGCGGGAAAACGGACTTGACGGCGGATGYGGCAGTGGTTCGCGGGCTCGCCGCGACAGTGGCGGCGGTGGTGAGCTGCTGTTGTCGTCGTGCAGATAATAATACAGCAGTATTATATTATTCGTAATAATTGTCGCGTAAACAGTAATATATTACAGTGCAATGGTCATGTAATATACCATTATAATACCATGCGGGGCGGCCATTGTGCACGGTATACCGTGTATATAATACCAGTCGGGGTGCGATGGTACAGCAGATGACGGGTCACGGGCCAATGGATATGTCACTAGTACTACGGAAGGAGGAGGACGATTTTTCGATCGGACTTAGATGTGACGTAAGACCAATCGGTCGGCTATGCGCGGTCCTCGGCTTTTCCGCGGAACGACGACTTCTTCTTGCGCGTACGACCTGTGTGCGAGCCGCGCGGTCCGTCGCGCACTCTCGGCGCGGGATGTGTGGGCGGCGGCCGGGGGTGGACCGCGGTTGCGCGGCGGATTAGGCGACGAAAGTACGCGGAAAAAAAAACACACTGCGGCGGCGAGCGGTGCGGCGTATAATATGATTGTAAGTACGACAACGTGAGTGGCGTTGGCGCTGTTCGTTTACGACGACTGGCGGGCCGTTGTCGCCGCCGCCGGGACCGACGACGGCC